AAACAAATAAATTGTGAGCATAGGGGATAATAGGTTAGGAGAATCCTGTCAAATGATATCTATCTAATCTTTTCAGAGAAGCTTCTTATTCTCCAGGTTTCCTGATCCCCAAATCTCATGATTCCCCGATCGCTTGCTCTCATAATCCCCAAGAAGTCAGTCACTTTTTGTCCAATCTCATCGGAGGGACTCCTCGCCTCTCAACCTGCTGATCTCCTAGTCTCCTAATCTTTCCATTAAAGGCGCTCGTGTCTTTGGGAGAGGACATCCCAATGAGTGAGCCAATTACGTGCTGTGTGCTTGAGACTAAGCCCTAGGGAGGGGAAGGGATCCTTAGGAAGCATGTGAACAATATGTATTCTCCCTGGCGTTTCTCCCCTTTGCTGGGCTTAGTCCTAGTCTCACCTACCATCGGATCCTGTTTTGAATGTCCCTCATCCCCCCCGGAAGGACATGAGCACCCCATTACGATATCGATTGCATTAACGCCCATCCTCCAAACCTCTTGAATTGTGGAGTGTGAACGAGGCCTAGCGAACGATTGACCGTGATAGAAAAAAGGTCCACACAAGCTGGGCTTATCTCAGGGCGGGTGACCGATTGCAGTTGACTCAGGTGGTTTCATTTGTAGAGGTATTCTATTAGATGGTGTGATGGCAAGTGCACTGCTTACTACGGCACGGTACAAAGGTCAAATCTCGGCCTACAGGCTATCCGAGCCCTCTATCTCACCAATTCGTTTCCTCAATTTTGGATGTCAGATAATTGGAGAACAAAACTGGGAGAACAAATTTGTGGCTTCAAGTCAGTCAGAAGAATGCATGGCGCATCCTCAGAAAGCGACCGACCAGCACCAAATATTTATTCTTTTTATACCCCTCATGTGAATATTACAATGACCTAACAGTGAAACGGGAGCCTGCATACAGATGTCGGGATGGTTTGAGAAGGTCTTGGCGTTAAGGCCCAAGGATGCACAGCATTAGCCCCGCCCAACTCTACTGGCCTCACCCACAAATCAATGCTATTTCGCTTCGCTGCTACTAGGTATGGAGACTTTATTTTCGTCCTTGTCGACGGTTTCTTCCCTTTTTTACTACATTACTGGCGTTACACTTCACATCTCCACTGCAGTTACAAGAGCAATAACACACCGTTTCAATCACAGACTTCGTGACAGTTGATTCTTTGCTCGTTTCCTTCTAAACAACCGTTCACGTTCAGGTAGTGCAGGATGGCTACGAGTTTTTTGCTAATCGGAAGCTAGTCACAATATTCTCCGCTCCTCATTATTGCGGCCAATTTGATAACGCAGCAGCCTTGATGAATGTCGATGAGAATCTTGTTTGTTGTCATCTTCATACATGACACCTCGACTTGAGTGTCGTAATTCTCCCCCTGTAAATTGTTGCTTCACGAGATTAAGTAGGTCGAACGGCAAAAGGACGATCCATTTAAATACAATAGTCCGCAGAGACCAATGCGACCTCTTGGGGGCGGATTGCACACGACCAATTGTCCCCCGAGGCAAGCAAAGACTTTGCACTTTACTCTTGGGGACGACCACTGGGCTCAAATCTTGGCGGGTCCATCGCGCGGCGTCGCACCTCATTAAACGCCATCCGCCTCAAATCACTCTGCACGCAGTCTAACCCGGATTACAGCAGAGAAGAAGACAGTATAGTAAACCCGAGCTAGAGAGCCGCAGCGACTCATTAAGCATAGTCAGACACGGGAGCAAGATACAGACTTCACCGTTTACTGGACCGATTCTCCAATGATTTTCCGGTCAACGTATTGGCGGGGGCCACGCCGGCGCCAGGCAGGACTGCTCCCTGGCACTTCGAAATCCGTGAGCCCCGGAAAAAAATAAGGGGGGTGGGGGGTGAGGGCAGTCACTTGACATGCGTGAAAAGCTGGAATGTTCGAGTTTACACTGTCTCGTTAGAGAGAGCCCAGGTGAGCAGACTGCCGCGCCGCCGCGTGGCCCCCCCCCAACTAAGTTAGCACCAATATTTCCATATATGTCCGTGTGCCAAACCACCCAATCCCTAGTTGAAAGTGATTGCGTTTTCATCGTGAATTCTGCCTTCGATCGCCGTTGGGTTTGTGCAATTTGCCCAAAACCTTCTGTGCCTGAATGCACCATGCAATGCAGGAAAAGCGCTGTCCCTTGGGCGGAGAGTGGGTGGGAGAGAGCGACACTTGACATGCTTTAAAAATGTTAATAAAAGAGACAAAGAATGCTAATCCACAATATTCTGCTGACGAGAGCACAGAGAAAGCTATCACTCGCACGACCACCGTCCTCCCCCACCGCCCCTGCATCTTATTATACTGAAAACATATACAATTTCAAGCCTCCTACTTACTAACTATTTGGAAAATTTACGTCCAGAAAGGATTAGTGAACGTATAGGAGAAATGTCCGTTACAAGAATCACAAGAATTATTATTATCGTTTCTCACGCCTGTGTGACTACAAATACTGCCATATTTTGTACATCAATTTTTAATGTTTCAGATACTTCGACCGTCCAAGAAGGCCTGTAAAATTGTCCAAAGGTGAAGGAGTGCGAATAATCGACATATGAAAGGTTATCGATAAGCGTCTATTTATTCACAAAAACTGCACGTCATTAAAAACGACTTGCAGAATAAAACTTGATTATCACTAGACTGTAACGGCATTGCATGGCAAGATGAGTAGTGAGAAAGGTCGACCTGCTTCATTTGTAGTCGGGTATCACTCACGGCATAGTGTAAGCAAGGGGTGCAGACTTCAGGGTATGCCACAGAAGGCCCGTCGCGCGGCCAGAAGGTAGAGACGCAGACGGGTCAGCGGGTGATTCGCAGCGCGTGCTGTGTAATGTGAGATGTAACACAATCCATACTACCTTGCAGTGCGCGCCACGACACGTCCGCTGCCTTGTCTGCGTCTCTGCCTTCTAGCCGTGCAACAGGCTTCCTGTCGGATACCATAGGCTCTGACATTCATGTGCGATACGATGGTGTGACCGACCTGGGTTTATGGAGACACTTATTCGTGGCCGTAGTGACCGGGACCGACTTATTCATAAAATTGATTATTGATCCTATTGCTGATTTCCAGCATATTTTCCTGCTAATTTCTTAGAATTCCTCATCTATCGGAATCTAACGTTTTGAGGCTATGTATCTTACTGTGTGAGTGCCTAGAATTAGAAATTGTATGAAAAACATTCATTCGAACTCGATCGGTATCAAAATCGATAACTGAAAGCAGGATGGGTTGTAGGACATCGCCGATGCAGTGATGTGTCCATTCAAGGTGATGGCTAGATGATTTGAAGAGTAATCCTTGGAGGGCATTTACAGTAATGCGCGTCGAGTCCAGGTACTCCTGGCTATTCCATCCATACCAGGTTGTCCTGGCCGTCCAGGCAGACCAATGTTGCCGGGAAGCCCGACCGCACCAATCTCACCGTCTGTACCTCGGGCACCAATCTCGCCGTCGCTTCCGGGTAGTCCAGGTTGTCCCGGTGGTCCAGGAACGCCCGGTCTTCCCGG